CTAGCCTTGAGCTGAAGAGCTGAGGGACAGCGCCCAGGCCCAGCGTTCAGGCCCCACGACCGGACCCAAAAAAAAAAAAAAAGAATAATCACACTTACCATAAGGATACTGTAAGATTGAAAGTGCCCCATTACTGTATTCTTCATGAGAAAACTTATCATTGCTAAGACATTTGTCAAATTCATCAGAACCTACCAAGACAGGAGTTCTAGATGGAGAATCTAAAAGACAATGATAAAATATTAATTGTGATGACTTTAATGAAAATGCATATGTTTACTCTTTGAATAAACTGATATCTCACCACAGTTCAGCTCAAAGATATAAGATGTAAGTTGCTGCTATTGACAATCTTACATAGGCTATGAAGATGGGCATGGTAGTGCATACTTGAGGTCTCATACTTGGGAGGATGAGGTGAGAGGAATTATATAACCAGCCTCAGTAACATAGTGAGACCCCATCTCAACATAAAACAAATAAATATAGAATGAGTAATTTAAAGCATCAATTAAGGTGGAAAGCCAAGAAGTAAGAGCAAGTTAAGCCCTGTTTGGAGAGCTGAGAGAAGTCTTAAGACAATTGGAGGCTGGGTATGTGACTGGAGGATGGTGGTTGTTCTGGGCTGAATTCAGTCTTTCTGAAATTTCTATGTTGAAGCTGTGCACCAGTTGCTTACACCTATTATATTAGATACTCAGGAGGCTGAGATTAGAGGATCGAGGTCCAAAGCCAGCCTGGGCAGGAAAGCCCAGGAGGTTTTTATTTCCAATTAATTACCAAAAAGACAGAAGTGGAGCTGTGGCTCAGAGGTAGAGCACTACTCTTGAGCAAAATAGTTCAGGGACAGTGTCCAGGCCCTGAGTTCAAGCCCCAGGACCAGCACAAAAATTTTAAAAATCCTATGTTGAGGTTCTAATCCTTAACATAGTTTCAGATTGTGACTGTATTTGGAGACACATTTTTTAAAATTAATTTTTTTTTTTTTGTCAGTTGTGGGGCTTGAACTATGGGCCTGGGCATTGTCCCTCAGCTCTTCAGCTCAAGGCTAGTGCTTTACCACTTGAGCCACAGCGCCACTTCCTGTTTTCTGCTGGTTAATTGGAGATAAGAGTCTCATGGACTTCCTGCCTGGGATGGCTTTGAACCATGATCCTCATATTGAGATATGAGTAGTTAGGATTACAGGTGTGAGCCACAAGCACCCAACAATCTTTATTATTTTTAATAATAATTTATTGAAGTTAAAAGAATGGACTCTGAATATTTTTACCATAAAGAAGCGAGAAATGGTTAAAAAGAAAAAATTTTGTATATATTCAAACTATACAATTTATAATATATTAAAATATCACATGATATCTCACAAATGTGTAAAATTTTTATGTTCTAGTATGTTATCTAAAAATAAATTTAAACTTAAAAAAATAAAAAAAGAAGCAATTGTGTATTAAAAAACAAAAAAAAGTTATGGAAAGATCATTAAAGGAGAGGGCAACACATTGTTTATATTCAACTCACTTATATCTCAAATAATATGATATGCTATATAGATAATTTTTACCCAAAATATTATTATAAATATGTTAAAAGCTAAACTTTATTTTAAATCATTACAAATTTTTCTAAATTATACAGAATTAACATTCATTTCTGGGCTGGGAAGGTGGCTCAGTGGTAGAGCGCTTGCCTTGCATGCCTGAGGCCCTGGGTTCAATTCCTCAGCACCACATAATCAAAAAGAAAAAAGCTGGAAGTGGCGCTGTGGCTCAAGTGGTAGAGCACTAGCCTTGAGCTGAAGAGCTGAGGGACAGCGCCCAGAGGCCCAGAGTTCAGGCCCCATGACCAGACCCAAAAAAAACAAAACAACAACAACAACAACAAAAACCATTCATTTCTATAGAAGCAACTGCTGCTTCCCAGAAAAAATGCTCTGAATGACAAAATGCATTATTAATATCTGTAATGCCTTCCCAATTTATTGGTGGAATATAAAGTGTATAATAGTGCATATGTCTGCAATATTCAAATATGAAAAGACAGGATTGGGTCCATAAACATTTTAGCAGTAGTTGTGAAATTTATGATCACTTACGAATTAAGGGCTTCCACTTGATTGTTGGCAAAGGAATAATTGCATTCTCATTATTGACAGATTCCAAGGCTTTGGGACTAGTAGGAAACTTTTCTGAAATTCTGACTGATGACTGCAGATACAGCTGGCCTCTATACATTCCTGAATCAACCAGAACATTGCTGATTAATAATTGTTCATCAACTATGCAAGATCGTTTTTAAAAGGTTCACTTTTATTGGATATGATTAACTCTACTTACTTTTTTTGTAGGTATATGCTCATAGAATAGAAAAACCTGGAGCACTTGAATTTAACTTAATGGTTACTAATGTTTATCTGAATACATATAATTCTAGAACTATAGCTAGTCATTCAAATACTCTCATACCATATGTATGACAGTTATTTCTTAAAATCCTTGCTTTTCATGGAGTCTGAATTCTATGCTGGTACCAGAGTTTGAACTCAGGATCAAGTATTTTCTAGTATTGTTTGCCTGGCTGGTGTTCTACTACTTAAACCACTCCTCCAGACCCAAACCCTAATTTTTAAGACAAGGGTGGGAGAATAATAAACATGGAAATACAAATTGTAGACAGTATATACTGTCTTCAAATTGTAGACAGACATATTAAGTAATTTTCTATCATGTTGTACAATAAGAACATTTCTAAACCCTTCTAATATAGATATGAGATGAAAAGGACAAACTATAATTAAGTTTCAGAACTGGATAAATGGAAACATAGCAGAAATGGAAATTAAAATATAAATTTAAGGGCTATCTAAATCAAAGAATACATTAAGGAAATAAAAGTATGATAGGTACTTCTAAGTAGGAAGAAATAATATAACAACACAGTACAGCTATCAGTATACCAATGGTACTATCATTCTGCAAGTATTATACTCACCCAAGTATACACTATTTTCTGTGGCTCCCCGAGCAGCTTCTACAATGTCTTCTTCATCTTCCAAAACTTCTTCATTAGATGCGTAACTTGTATCATCAAAAAGACTAATGGGAATAACTTTGCCATCCCTAACCAACCAGGCAGATGCAATTGGAGTACAAAACTAAACAAAAATGGAAACAAATTTTAAATAATTAAAGCAGTATTTCAGTAGTGCTAATTCATAAAATACCAATTAAAATTTTTTTAAAGCATAGAGAATAACTTGAGGACACAAAATGTTAGTGACTTCACTCCACCAGTAAGTATGATCAAAGTAGGAGAGGAGAAAACATTTATAAGCTCTCAGTGGGTGTTAGATACCTGATACTCCCATTCCAGATGTCCTTCCTTCTTACTAAATGCCATAACCTTCCAATCAGCAACTGAGACCTTTATAATCACCGTGTCCAGCATGGCAGCCTCCTGTTCTTCCACATCTGAAATAATTTTAGTATCTTCTTTGTTTCCACTGGGCTTAAAGGTGCTTTCAATAAAGCCAGCTCTAGTTTCCATGTCTGGAATATACCGAAGTTCAAAGTGGCCAACACTGAAATTCCACCTTAAATTTACAAAGGTGTGTTTTAGAAATTTACACTTAAATAAAGGGACTAAGTAATACAGAATACTTCTAGACTAAAGAAACAAGCATCAAAATTTTGTGATGAGAAATTGAACAAATCAATGTAAATTTCTGGCAGAGGTTGTCTTACTGATTTGCGCCACAAGAGGGCCTGTGAGAACCCTATCTGAGACTAGAAAAACTAGTTCTGAGAGTTGTGGGCAGACAGACAATAGTATGGATCAGATTTTTTTCCCCAAAATGAACAAATGTTCACACTTACAAGTCAGAATGAGTCTCTTCAACACAAAGTCCCCTCAAAATGAGGTGGCATACACTCTGGCTTTTGAGTGGCTGATAGGAGATAAGAGTTTTAAGGACTTTCCTGCCTGGGCTGGCTTTGCACTGCAATCCTCAGATCCCCGAGCCTCCTAAGTAACCAGGATTACAGATGTGAGCCACCTGTGTCAGGTCTTAACATGTCTCTTAATAACCCGAGCACATTTCATTAAAGTGCAGAGAAATGAACACATCCCTATTAACCAATGTAAAAAAGCCAGAAGAATGAATCAACTTTAGCGTCATGTGAAAACATGGCCTTGAAGGTGCAACTTCAGCTCCCCTCACCACCTTACCTCCAGTATCAGATCTCTGAGTTGTGGCAAGTCATCTACTCTTTCCTAAGTTTTAGTGCACTGCTAATAAAGTGATAGTAAGGATTTCTCTATAGTTAGTAAATAGAAAGGTCACTTAACTATTGACATTATAATGTCCTATCATAGAATGGGTTAAGAACTTTGACATCTAGTGAAAAAAATATACTTAAGAACATGGTTCTTAAAACTACACACTCTTTCTATTCTGGTAGTTGAATTGTTAAATTGTACTTTTGCTTTTACAGTGACTAAGTTCCCACTGAACACTCAGAACCCTTAAGAAAACAAAATCCCATCAGGATAAAGGTCAGGCTGTCAGCACATGCAAAGCCCTATTCATGGCCCACCAAATGTGGAAAGAATCAATGAATTTTTAACTGGGTTTGAGGAAACAGTTTTCAGGAAAAACAATTGAATCATATTGCATCAGACTGGAAAAAATCTGAGCGACTGGTTCACTTTCAAAAGATAAAGATGAGATTTAAGGTTATTTTTACTACTCAGGCAATTTAAAACTTTAATATTAAGTTTAAAAAATATGGCACATGATAGAGGATTGGAATATCTTATGTTTTAATCCTATCTTTAAGTGTAGAAATCACATAAGGAATTCATTATCTAAAGAAACAACAAGTAAGAGACTAAATAAGTGAAGGAAAGTAAAATAACAGTCCTAAAATTGGAAGCTGGGGATATAGCTCAGTGAAATAACACCTGTCTTGCATATGTGAGGCCCTGGGTCCAATGCCTAATATTGCAAAACAAAATAGTAATAAAGACCCAAACTATGAAACTATAGAGAACTACAGAGTCAAGCAGACCAACTCTCATACATGATTGTTGTCTTCTGCAATCAAAGAATTTGGTGCCGTGAAAAGCATCATTAATCTCATCTCAGTACTGTCATTCTTTATACCCACTTCTCATTGCCACTACGAGGTCCGACAGCTCTCACGGTTTTCTGGGTGCGTTGCAGCAGCAGAATGTCTTCTTCTTCTTCCATTTCATCACTATCCCATCGGCGACACCCCAAAGCTGAGCAGATATATCTCACCTGAAAAGGCAGATGTAAAATGAGCAAAGGACATAAGCCACAGGAGATCAGAGACATTAAAAAATGTCTAGAACTTTTAAAAAAGAGGAAATTAAGGAAATGTGCCCAAGTAGAAGTGCCTAATAAGAAATATCATGATTAACTCCTAAGATTTACATCATGAAAGTCAATCTCACAGTTTCCATATAACAAAAGTAGTGTGGTTAAAAAAAAACAACCCAAAACTGAGGGGCTGGGAAGGTGGCTCAGTGGTAGAGTGCTTGCCTTGCATGCATGAGGCCCTGGGTTCGATTCCTCAGCACCACATAACCAGAAAAAAAAAGCCGGAAGTGGTGCTATGGCTCAAGTGGAAGAGCGCTAGCCTTGAGCTGAAGAGCTGAGGGACAGCGCCCAGGCCCACAATTCAGGCCCATGACTGGACCCCCCCACCAAAAAAAACCCAAAAAACAAAAACTGAACCTTTTCTAATAGCTTTCAAACTTAGAATACCTCCAAAATATCACTGAAATAACAAAGAAGACTCATATTTTAACCCAAACTAAAATCCTTACAAAGGAAGTATATCTGCTAGAGTATCAAAATTTTGCAGTAGCACATCCAACAAGAACCAGATGATGGGGTTCAAATCTGTTATCTTACAGATGAGAACATGAGAGCAAACTTCAATCTTCAAGTGCGTGTTTGCTCAAAAAAAAAAAAGATGGAATTATGATAGCCTTCTCAATACAACACAGATGCAGGTGGGTCAAGAAGGCAGCAAAACATTCCAAGTGCAAGAAGGTGCTATGGGCCTAACACTTAGTTGAGGAACAGTTCAAGTTAAAAGTCACATTATTATGTTTCCTTATTTAAGACTACGTTTATAGCTGGACACCGGTGGCTCATGCCTGTAATCCTAGCTACTCAGGAGGCTGAGATCTGAGGATCATGGTTCAAAGCCAGCCCAGGCAGAAAAGTCCGTGAGCCTCTTATCTCCAATAAACCACCAGAAAACCGGAAGTGGCACTGTGGCTCAAGGGGTAGAGCGCTTGCCTTGAGCTGAAGAGCTGAGGGACAGTGCCCAGACCCAGAGTTCAAGCCCCAGGACCGACCAAAAAAAAAAAGAATAAGATTATATACAAAATATTCACATACCAAGGGTTTAAAAGACTTTTGGGGGGCTGGGAAGATGGCTCAGTGGTAGAGTGCTCGCTTTGCATGCATGAGGCCCTGGGTTCGATT